CAGAAAACAATTTTTAATTACTGATATTTTATTCAACAACCATAAAAAGTCTACTAACTTCAATCATTTTCAATAATTCTAAATTAAATATAAATTGATAAAAAGAAAATTAATTTTATTATAAAAAAGCGTGGGATGCTTGATATAGATTGTTGTAAATATATCAACAGTAGGTATCTATTTTAAAAAGTATTATTATTTATTGACAATGAGGGCATGGTCGTTATTAAATACAGGTTGATCTAAGTGATATATAGAAAACTCTCTTTTTCGCTGACAATATAGCCATTTATATTTTAACGGAATGCCTTTCGAATTATGAAATTCTTCATTCACATTCCAAAAAATATAACAATGAACAACCTATCAGGCGAGCATCGTTTGATATCATTGAATGATATTATAATTTTTGATAATTAGTACATAATAACATATTCAGGGAAGTACCAAATTGACCTAAAAGAACAGCCGGATAATTGTGAATTTATTAAAAAGGAAGCAGGTTATATATTAGTTATCTCATTTTTTCTAAAGATATAAACTGATATAGATTTACCAATGTCTTGTTGACCACAAGAGGTCCGCCTGAATCTCCAAAGCAAACGCCTTTTTTGTCTGTTCCTGCAGTACAGATGTTTGAATCTATAATGTCCTTGAACGTTTCATTACACACAGCGTTTGTTATAATGCGAACATTGACATATCGCAATACTTCTTTGCCATCGGTGGTAGGATCATAATCGTCTCCCCAACCACTTGCTATTGCCTCTGATCCCGCGAAACTATTCGAAACGTCAGCTCTACTGGGAAGTGCAATTAATTGAACGTAGCCTGCAAGGATTGAATCATATTTGGTAAAAATAGCAAACAGAAGTCGCAAAATTTATAGATACGTATAGGTACACGCTCATAGGAAACAGAACGGATCCAACAAATAAAAAACAATTGTGTGGTTTTATGAAACCACGATGCATGTGAAACTTTTCGGATTGTAGGCATTTAACTGTAAATTTTCAGAAAATTATTCGATTTAGGGTATTAAAGTTAAAAACGCGTTCTTAATCTTATCTTAATGATTGAAAAGTGGAAATGATAATGGGAAATCAATAGTAAACCAGACATTCAACTATAAATTTTAATATCAATCTGCGTATGAGAGTACGAAATACATAATAAATACAATCATTCCGATGATAGACCCATGTTAAAAACTGAGAACAATATTTATTTAAATCATTGAATCATTTTAAACTTCAGTTACTGTATCAATAATTTCATTTTCGCTTTGAGTTTCACAATCTATAAATGAAATTGTCATGCACCTGCACGAATGTGTGAGAATATAAATGCTACACGGTTAGTTCATGCGAGCCATGAGCGCCGCCATATTGGCCTTGGCTGCTCTGCCGAGCGCCTTTCAGTTTTATCCCTACTCCGCGACCGGCTGTAATGCGACTTGATATAGATTGTTGTAAATATATCAACAGTAGGTATCTATTTTAAAAAGTATTATTATTTATTGACAATGAGGGCATGGTCGTTATTAAATACAGGTTGATCTAAGTGATATATAGAAAACTCTCTTTTTCGCTGACAATATAGCCATTTATATTTTAACGGAATGCCTTTCGAATTATGAAATTCTTCATTCACATTCCAAAAAATATAACAATGAACAACCTATCAGGCGAGCATCGTTTGATATCATTGAATGATATTATAATTTTTGATAATTAGTACATAATAACATATTCAGGGAAGTACCAAATTGACCTAAAAGAACAGCCGGATAATTGTGAATTTATTAAAAAGGAAGCAGGTTATATATTAGTTATCTCATTTTTTCTAAAGATATAAACTGATATAGATTTACCAATGTCTTGTTGACCACAAGAGGTCCGCCTGAATCTCCAAAGCAAACGCCTTTTTTGTCTGTTCCTGCAGTACAGATGTTTGAATCTATAATGTCCTTGAACGTTTCATTACACACAGCGTTTGTTATAATGCGAACATTGACATATCGCAATACTTCTTTGCCATCGGTGGTAGGATCATAATCGTCTCCCCAACCACTTGCTATTGCCTCTGATCCCGCGAAACTATTCGAAACGTCAGCTCTACTGGGAAGTGCAATTAATTGAACGTAGCCTGCAAGGATTGAATCATATTTGGTAAAAATAGCAAACAGAAGTCGCAAAATTTATAGATACGTATAGGTACACGCTCATAGGAAACAGAACGGATCCAACAAATAAAAAACAATTGTGTGGTTTTATGAAACCACGATGCATGTGAAACTTTTCGGATTGTAGGCATTTAACTGTAAATTTTCAGAAAATTATTCGATTTAGGGTATTAAAGTTAAAAACGCGTTCTTAATCTTATCTTAATGATTGAAAAGTGGAAATGATAATGGGAAATCAATAGTAAACCAGACATTCAACTATAAATTTTAATATCAATCTGCGTATGAGAGTACGAAATACATAATAAATACAATCATTCCGATGATAGACGCATGTTAAAAAATGAGAACAATATTTATTTAAATCATTGAATCATTTTGAACTTCAGTTATTCTATCAATAATTTCATCTTCGCTTTGAGTTTCACAATCTATAAATGAAATTGTCATGCACCTGCACGAATGTGTGAGAATATAAATGCTACACGGTTAGTTCATGCGAGCCATGAGCGCCGCCATATTGGCCTTGGCTACTCTGTCGAGAGCCTTTTAGTTTCCCCTACTGCGCGGCNCAATAGTAAACCAGACATTCAACTATAAATTTTAATATCAATCTGCGTATGAGAGTACGAAATACATAATAAATACAATCATTCCGATGATAGACCCATGTTAAAAACTGAGAACAATATTTATTTAAATCATTGAATCATTTTAAACTTCAGTTACTGTATCAATAATTTCATTTTCGCTTTGAGTTTCACAATCTATAAATGAAATTGTCATGCACCTGCACGAATGTGTGAGAATATAAATGCTACACGGTTAGTTCATGCGAGCCATGAGCGCCGCCATATTGGCCTTGGCTACTCTGTCGAGAGCCTTTTAGTTTCCCCTACTGCGCGGCCAGCTGTAATGCGACATGCGATAAATGGACGAAAAAATTTGAGACGATGTAATAAAAGTTTCACTTTAACAAGTGCGAAAATTCAATTACTAAAGTTGCTTCATTACGATGACTTTAAAAACGCAACTTCTTGAAGCTTCCCCATACGTACCTAATAGAAAGCAAATAGATATTACATAGCTGGAAAAAGTCTGAATGAAGTCCATTAAAATTGCCAATCGTATGGTTTAACTTTTACATTAACTTATTATAAGTTTGGTAATTCTTTACTAGATATAACTAATATTTAGGACAAAGTAAATTAGTAGTAGAGATAGCTACGATTGATTTTTGCTGGTGTTGGAAGATAGACGACGCCTATATCATTTACTAGTGTTTCATTATTAAACTGTTCATGTATCTTGTAAGTGGTAGTTGGAATTGTTTGCTGGGTTGGTTCAGTTTCAAGAAGCTTATGTTTCCCCAGTATCACTTCTAACGACAACATGCTGATAAAAGAAGTAAAATGTAATAAATTATGACGATAACAATTAAGCGCAAATGTCTTACCCATCATCTAAACAATGCGCAACTGTTAGCACATATCTCGTGGTGATAAGAGATGCTCCACATGAACTAGATGATCCATTGAAAATCATTCTCAAAACGGCCTAAAATAATAAAACAATTCTACCGAAACGTCTGCTAATGAGATTACGTGTGCCTATTTTCATCGTATACGCGGGCGCGGCGAAATTATGTAGTTCATGAGTACTGTCTTATCCTACCGCAATGCTATGACCTTAAGCAATCAACCAATCTTCGGTAGGTACATTTAAAATTAATAAAAAGAATCTACAACTCACCATGGGGAGGTGGCCGCATACAAGTTCCAATCCATCCACCTACTTGCCTTATAACTTACTAATTTCGTGCAGCATATTTTTTGAAGTAATACTTCTTTGGGCTCGATGAAAGTAAACTCTCAAGGCCATGAAACGACACGTTTTGGAACGTTTCGTCTTGCGGCGCGATAGGCTATGAGTATAGAAGGGCGCGCATGCGCATATCGTTATTACAGTCAGCTGTTAGTGACCAGCATCTCATATTTTATAGTATACTGTATATTCACTTACTGTAGTGCTAAATTAATTTTTTGGTTATATGTATTATAACTGCATACACTTTAAACTTCAGTTATTCTATCAATAATTTCATCTTCCCTTTGAGCTTCACAGTCTATACATGTAATTGTCATGCACTTGCACGAATGTGTGAGAATATAAATGCTACACGGTTAGTTCATGCGAGCCGTGGGCACCGCCATATTGGCCTTGGCTGCTCTGACCAGCGCCTTTCACTTTTACCCCTACTCCGCGACCGGCTGTAATGCGACATGCAATAAATGGACGAAAAAAATTGAGGCGATGTAACAAAACATTCACTTTTACAAGTTTCAAAATTTTGAGCCTCCCGGGACCAAATAAAATGTATGTTACTAATATCCATATCTCGTGGGGGATGTAATAGATATAAATCACAACTTTTCCACGCTAGCCATATTTGATATTAAAGAAAAGACTTTTCGGCCCATCCTATCGCGTATGCCAGCCAAATAATCTAACTTTTGACATTTGTCAACTGTTGTGTGGCGGAATTGTACACTACAGATTACTTTTCCGCCGCGCTGACACAAATTAGCAAACGACGTACCATTTCTAAATAAAGATATTACAATATATTGTAGACTGACAATTTATCGCGAAATAGGCCGCGCCAAATTTTCATGTCTCTTAAATATTAGGTACCTCAGTCCTTTTAAATTTCGTCCCTTAAAACCGTTACATTCCTTTACAATTTCAAATCTCCTAACCGTTACATCTTATCCTTATCCCAATCCCACAAATTTGGATGTTTAGAATTTGAAAGTAAATGATCTATGAGGTACAGTGTCACCCACGGAAAAGCAAAAATAATTGATTGATAACTTATTTAATTATATATTTATTTATAATTATTTCTTCCTAAAACCGAACCCATGATGGATACTTTATAATGTCATATACACGGAGCTGACTAACACTAATTTTGGTCAATATTGTAAATATTTTCAATACTTACCACGTATGGTAAGGAGTTTGGAACAGCTTCATTTCCTCCCACGATCCTTGTATCTTCAAAGGATGCAGGCTGATTGAGTCGTCTGAAAGTTATTTCGCGAGACAAATTTCTAGTTACGTGAGCCTGCCAAGAACGGAAAAAAGTCAATTTAGAATTGATCTAGACTTACAAATTAATCTCAGTATTTTACCGTAACTAAGGAAAATACGATGAAAATTAACACAATCTCCTTCATTTCTGCCTATGACACAAATACTGTACCGATTTTGGTTGAAACTCGGTTTATAACGTTATCTTAAAAGTACTTCTGTTGATAAAATCTTCGAACTGTATCGGTATGATAAACGATATATTCTCAAATCTTTCAGGTGAATATGTTAATGTTAATGCTGATGAAGAGATTAAGGTGATGATTTAAGGATTTTGTAGTTGTTATAAATTAGCAAAAAGGATCATTCTTAAACTATTTAAACTCTCAATTCTGTTTCGGTATATTTAAGAAAGAGAGATTTTGTTTTCGAAGATTACTTAAGAACAAAGAACATTACCCATGTACATGAATGAATGGAAGAGAATATTAGTTAGTATTTCTAAACGAATTAAAACAGTTTGAAACATTATATGATAAAAAATACAAGAATAGGTTATTATAAAATAACAGTTTATGACTAAATGATTTTGTAATAATTTCATATGACATTGTTGAAAATATAGTTACTATAATATATTATTAAATATGTATCTATTGACGATTGAATTGAATATTAACAAATTAATACTAGGCCGAGCTTCATTTATTTACTGATATTACTAAATAAATAATGTTCTACCTGGTCTTTACTCAGTCTAAGGAAGTGTTTAGTGCTTTAAATATGTCTTATAGGTTGAATACTATTGTAAAATAATTTTTAAATCATATATAGTTGGATATAGTCACGCAGTAACAAGAGCCTGGCTATACGGTTTGTAGCGGGCTATTTTATCCTCTAGTGAGGCTGGCGCAATTATGCAAATATGAGAAATATAATTGTAAGAGGAACCTTTTTTTTCTTTTAAAATTTTATTAATTATATTATATTCTTATTTACGAATAAATTGCTAAATTAAGCTTGCCGTTAAACGACTATGTAAGTTTCTCGGTCGCGGGAAGGTTATTTTACTCATATCGTACCTGTATGTATACGTGTGTGTGCTTGTTGATTATTACTGAAAAAAAGAAAGCCCTTTATTAAAAATTATTTGTGTACTTTTAATATAGTTAAACGGGTGTGGTCTTTAAGTGTTTTGGTTCTACAAGTTCTGGTGAGTTATTACTGAGTACTTTTTGCATGTTTTTATACCCTCATTTTATAGGGAAGAAATTATTGTTTTTGTTTTACTTGTACGGATTTATTTTTATATCACACGGTAGGTATTTATAATGCTTATATGCTCGTCACTTTAAGCTAATCTAGTAAACAACTAAGCAAAATTTCGTAACATTATTATTATGGGAATTATCGTCACAATTAGTAACAATTGGAAAAGCATTTATCATAATTGTAACGTGTTTTTCGTAATTGTTGTAGATCGCTGGATTTTATCGGGCCACACGTGTCAGCTACTACGGAATGCACTTCACACTATTTATAGTGTTTTTTCTTTGTTTTTTAATTTTTATGCTGATAAACTCCTACGTGATGACTTCAGATAAAATTTAGTAAATTATGTAAAAAATTACATACATGACTTTTAGCTGTGGAATTTAGACACATTTTAATGTAGTAGCATTCTGTCTCTGCATCTCTATCATTCGTTTCTGCGGCCCTTTAAGTATTTCGCTTTTCTTTCTATCTAGCCTATAGCGTGCTTTGTTACAATTTATTTTTTCTCTAAGTCAAGACGTTTTCCATCTTCTCTCTTCTTCATAACCTTAAATTTAAGGTTCGTTTCCATAACTAACAGGTTATAACCGCTGTTTATACTTGCTCCTGCAGCACTTCACTTAATTTTTAGATCTTTGCCTAACAAGAATGTAATGCAGCTAATGTCTCCAGAAAATAACCTAGTATCTTTCACGTATAGCGTCAAATAAAGTACTCGCCACGATTAAATTATGTTTATCACAAAATTATGTTAGTCTATGTCCTCTATCATTTCTATTACCAATTCCAAAGAACCTTTTGTTACACCTTCTGTATCTACAACTGTTAGGTTTTCCTACCCTTTCACTTCTTCTGTATCTGTCTACGTCTTATATTATATTAATGATCTAGAGCCATCCATATTGGGTACAGAAATAATAACAATAATACTTACTTTTAATTCTAACACAGTTAACCACATATTTTTTGTTAATTGTAACAACTATAGGTTCCTTAGAATGTTATCTTAGAGATGTCGTAATAAGTAACATTAGGTACCGTAACATATTTAGGTACCTTAAAAAACATCGACCCAGCTTGATAAAAAATGCTATACCAGAATTTTATCAATAGTAGTAAAGTATTTGTACGATTACATTTTCAAAATTTATACAGTATCTGTGTCACAAATGGAAATGAAGGAAATTGTCTTAATTTTTATTGCGTCTTCCTTAGTTACGGTACAGCAATGAAATGAATATGAATGCATATATCAATTTATTAGTTTATTTTATGTATCCTTTACAGGCGCACGTGGCTACGGATTGGTCTAAAATTATTACTACTCATGAAGCACCTCATCAGCATACATCCTCTGAAGATATAAAGATAGTGGGAGGGCTTGAAGCTGTACCAAACTCTATACCATACCAAGTAAGCATTTCATATACTTGAAATATTTAATGTTTCATTAAAATTAATTTTGGGAGTTAATCAAGGAATATATCAGTTCATTTGTACAAAGAAATAGTCGAAATTATTTTTAAATTAATTCCAAAATTATTTGCGAAATTTAAAGCAGGAAAATTCGAAATGATTGAAATTTGGGTGTAAGATTTAGAGGATCGCTAGACTGCAACATAATAATTTTATTTATTCAGGCCGCTTTAATTCTCTTTTACAAAGAAGAAACGAGGCTCTGTGGTGGATCCCTAATCACCAGAAGATACGTATTAACAGCGGGGCATTGTTTGGTGGATGAGTAAGATATTTGCTTTTAATTGTTACGTTCATATTTTGTTACGTATACTTTCTATTTTTTTTATCAGACTTGTATCGTTATATGTAATTCTGGGGGCGCATAAGTATGGTGAAGATGAACCTACTCAGCAAATCATTTCAACTTCCACATTCAAAGTGCATGAACAGTTTGATGGTGGACCACTAGCGAACGATATAGGCATAGTCCATCTTCCAACACCGGCCAATCTCAATCGTAATTACCTGTACCTATTAATAAGTTACTTTGTTTTAAATATTAATTGTGAATAGTATAGTGAATTACCAAACTTTTTAATTAAAGCAAAAATTAAATCATTCTATAGGAATAAGCAAAGCTTACGACATACGAGGGCAAGGTGAAAAATTCTCGGCCTGACTATGAAAGACTGCGATTTTCGATTAAAACATGATTTTATTTTTCTACATAATTTCCCTTAACTTCAACACACTTGGTCCAGCATTTCTTCAATCTTAGTATTCCTTCCCAGAAGTGAGAGCCTGGAAGGTTGTGAAAATATCCATCTACGACTCTCTGAATGTCTTTATTAGAGGCGAAGTTCTTCCCAGAAACAAATTTCTTCAAGTATGGGAGCAGGTGCATTGTCCTGGTAAAAGATGATTCTCTTCTTCTTTAAGCCAGGCATCTTCTCACAAATTTTAGCTTCCAGCTGTTCAAAAAGGGTGGAGTATTGTTCACTTGCCCTTTTTATGGTAATCAATTAACAGAATCCTTTCTGCATCCCAAAACATACTTACCATAGCCTTTCCGGCAGATACGATCGTCTTCGCTTTCTTTGGCGCTGAACCACCGGCTTCTACCCACTGTTTCGACTGCTGTTTCGTTTCTAGCGTGTAGTGGTGGACTCATGTCTCATCCATGGTAACAAATCTCCACACAAAATAGGTTGGATGCCTGTTGTATCGATCCAAACATTGCTGCGAAAATCGTTTGCGCATTTGCTTTTGATCGGCAGTCAGCAAATGCAGCACCCATCGTTCGCAGAGCTTTTGCATCTCTAATTATTTCTACAAGTTGTTTCGCATCCTTTCTTTGGAAGTCCCTAGGGTCTCACTCACCTTCACTTCATGTGAATTTCTTTAGGGGTTAATGCATCCAAAACGAAGGATTTTACAACCGCACGATATTCAAGTTTATACATTTAAAAAAAACACGCTAAACGTCTACTGCAAAGATTCGTGTGAACAAACTACTTGAGGGAACAAGCTGAAACTTATCATACAGGAAATATAAATTTTCGCCGATTTGACCGTTATCTCTATGTCAGGCCGATAGCTTTTCACCTTACCCTCCTATTTTCCTTTTTTAATGCTTATTCAATCCTACATATGAGAAAGCTGAAAGTAGTTGATATAAAGTTAGAACCCCTTCAGTAGCTTAATTTTCTCATTTGTCATTTTTTGGAGCCCCTATAAGCGTCGCTACCAATGTGTCTATAAATTCTGTGATTTATGTTTGTCATTTTACTAAACGTAATTCAATTTTTCACAGAGTACGTTCAACTGATTGCACTTCCCCGCAGAGCTGACGTTTCGAAAAGTTTCGCAGGATCTGAGGCAGTAGTAAGTGGTTGGGGACGCAATTCTAGTAATGATAACGATGTTAGTAACGTATTACGATATCTCAATGTTCCATTCTGTCAAACGACATGTGTAACGTAGACAGGGTGTCCATTATTTGTACTGGAGGAGCGGGCAGAAAAGGGACTTGCTATGGAGATTCCGGCGGACCTCTTGTGACCAGTGGAAAATTGGTAAATATAAATATCAGTTTAAAGATATTAAATTAGTAAACATGAAAAGAAAATACACATGTGTCAATAACTGTGTAATTGTATATACTCGCCAGGTTGAAACCATTCACTGCCACCCAGTGATGATAGTAGTTTAAGGTAAGGGCGGGATTTGGTTGTGGTGGGTAATGATGTGTAAGGGCAGTGACCGTTATTTCTAACTATTACTTCATAAGAATGTTCATAAATTTTGGAGAATAAAGTAAGTAATTAAGATTCTATAATTCACTAAAAATTTAACATCCCATTGTATCCTAATATGCATTTTTTTCTTTTTTTAGATACCTTTTTCAATAGAATCAACCTATTCCCATCTTTTCATCACATTTTCCCAATACATACCGCAACATTTCCCTTCCGGTTTCACATATTTTGTACAATATTTTCATCCTTCTTCATCCAAAACTTCATCATCATAAGGTCGTCAGTCCTAAGACTGGTTGGACACGCCCCTCCACTCTTTCCTGTCCTGAGCTAATCTTTGCATTTCCCTAACACTAGAACAATCTATATCCTTAACTATTTGCGAACAGTAATCTAATCTAGGTCTACTTCTATCCTTCCTAACATCCGTTTCAGCCTCTAATATGTCTGCGACTAGACCTTCATGCCTGAGAAGGTGTCCTACCATCCTATCTCGCCTATTTCTTATTGACTTCCATAGAATCCTCTATTCTCTTATTTTTTCTAATACCTCTTCATTTCTAACCTTCTATATCCACGGTATCCTCATCATTCGCCTGTAACACCACATTTCGAACGCTTCTAACCTTTTCTTTTCTTGTTTATGTTTCGCACCCGTACACACACATACACCTTTAACAACCATTTTCGAATTTCTAAATTAACTGTTTGCGAACATAGTAGTGACCCGACTCTGCGCTTTCCTCTGCTTTATATCCCTACTACTCCTTCCGACCTGACTAATCTGACTTCCCAGATACCTAAAATCATTTCATCTAATTTTTCGTCTCCTATTCGCTCTTTCCCTCCTATCCTTCCTTTGCATACCAGTATTTGTGTTTACTTTTATTTAATTTCATACAGTACTGTTTTGTCAATACCGCTTCCATAAGTAAGTAATTAATACTGTATAATTGACAGAAAAAAACAAATTTTATCCTAAACATACGTCATCGTAATTCATTTCCATTCTCAACCTTACTACTACAAACATCTCTTTTATTTAATTCAAATAAACTGATATACTATATCCCTGCCAATGCTCCAACATTTAAGTTTTTATGCAATCTATGTATTTTGACTTTTCATTACTTCTCAGATCCTCATCTCATGTCATTTCACTGCCCCCTAACACTTACTCATCTGATATCGGTGGCAGGTGATAAGAGCCCTTCATTTAAAAAATATATTACCGATTTGCCCATTACACATTCCTCTTTCTCTTGCCAAATCACAGAATGAAGAATCTGTCAGAAATCTCTTCATTCCTCTTGCTTGTGATTGTACTGTAGAGATTCGCATTCATTTTTTATTTCTGTGTACCCGTTTTTTCCTACCAAAAGGAAGAAACAGTCGCACAGGAAAATTACCATTAATGTAATAGAATCAACCTGTGATATGCAACAGTATTGTAATTCGTTGTTGCAGGTTGGAATTGTTTCAACGATAGGCGGCTCAAATGGCTGTGAAGCCGGGGATCCATCCATCTATACTAGAGTAACATCTTTTTTAGACTGGATCTCAGCAAACAGTGATGCCGTAATTTCTTAAAGGTTCTTTAAATATCGAAGCAAATGTTAAAAGTAAACTTGAAAATAAACAATTATTATTGAATATATTGTATACATGTGTATACTAGGGATGTATCAGATAGTGATCTTGCCGGGTACTTGATAACCGGGTACCAGGTATTAACTATACTCTCACTAACGTAACGTCTCAAACCACATTAAGTCTCATTCAAAAGGTCGCTTGAACACTAAACCAATAAAAATTTAATTTTTGATTGGTGAAATTTCAACGAAAGAGTTGAGTTGAAACCGTTGTATCTAGCTTATAGGCAATGCCTACATAATACAAACATTGGAAGTCTGCAAGCCGACAAAATCATACTAATAAGTTATCGCCAATTTAAACTTGATATACATATATACCAACATGCGACAGAAATTGTAACAGTTCGGTCATACCTACCAATGTCTTCTTGTTCACGAGATAAAGAATACATAATAACTGTATAGGAATAGCAAATAATTAATTTATTCAAGGACCCAGGAGAACAAATTGCACGATGGTTACAACGACAAAAAGAATACGAGACAACATGGCAACGCAGATGCACTATCCCGGAGACCTTGCATGGAAAACTGCAAACTTTTTTTAATTGCGAAGAAGGGAGAATTGATATCGATCTGTTGTAATCTAATCTGATATCGATCTGTTGTAATCTAATCAGCGTTCAACATGGAAAGATAAGGAATTAGATGAAGACCAGAGGAGAGACGAGTACTTTGACCTAATGATGACATAAAAAGATGCCGAAACTGCAAGACCATCGGGAGCAGATGTAAGCTATCTAAGTAAGACAACGAAAAGTTATTGGGCCCATTAAAATTCCCTAGCCTTGGGTTACGTCATTTTGAGCGTAACGTAAAAAAGTCCAGGTGGAACCAAAAACAAACATCAACTCGTGCTTCCCAAGATTAGAGTTTCAGAATTTTGGTGCTAGAAATGCCTGACGTGCGCAGCTAGTAAGGATCCGATGACGAAAAGGTTTTTAAAGCAATATCTATGACATTCGTTAGATATCTACCTATGCAATAGTCAATCGTTTATGAATAAACATGTAAAATTTACGCACGCATCTGGTATATGATATTGTAATGTTCGTGCGCTATTTATTTCACTGCTATCACTGTCAATTTATTTCTCGATTCACTTCTGCAACGGTTAATTTATTTCCTCTCCCCTCGGCGATCGTCTCTTTCTTTAAATACTTTTTTGTTTACGTTCGGGAACCTTCCGGATAGTTTATTTTTTCTTTGAATTGCTTAACTGCTTTCACAGAACGCAGGTACGACACACACATTTACAAATACGGCGCACATGAAGAAAGGCGCCCGTGGCTAGTAGGCGAATCGATAAGCCGTTCACGCCCACGAGTGGCCGATCGCAAACAAACACACTCGTGCTCGCTAAAATATCATAGATCTACAGAACAAAACAAAAATTAACCATTCTTGAAATATATACAAAAATAATTTTCGCGAAAAGCGGTAAATCCAGCGAGCTCAACCGTCACATGTATGGATGAGTGTAATGTCTGTATTTCCTTATTGTACTATGAATAAAAGTAAATTACGTAAATGTTACAAAGACGTGTACAAAATTTTATCTCGAGATACGATGTGATGGTTTATAGATATACAAATTTAATAAAACACTTCAAAAGTTTGAAGGGCACGCTACAACAGCTGGCACGTGTATTTCCGATAAAATCGAACGAACTATTAAAACAATGTATCAGATAATATTATAAAAAGATATTTTAAAATTACTGGTCAAAAAATCCGTTTAACACTAGAACCGCCGAAGTTGGACATCCCCGTGAACCGCCGGCAGGACAAATTTGATCCACATTAATTACTGCAAAAATTATTCATTTTATTCAAGATATTATAAAAAAAATATGCAAAGGAAAAGAAATTCAATATTTTAATTAATGATTTTAAATCATATCCTGTATTATTTGAGTAACAACAAAACATTACAATATTATTCAATTTTTTTTCTGTAAGTTATAAAGTTCTAATCTATGCATTAATTATCATTATTACAGATGATTTATTGTTTACATATTCTGACTTCACTTGACATCTTGTGCGTTTTTCTTGTTTCTCTGGATATCTTCTGGAATTTCAACAGATGTACTTTTCTTTTTACTTGTCATATATTTCTTTCCCAATTCCTCTCCCAATTGCAGTAGAAAATCTCTGCGTGTAATCTTACTGTTATTAAGATTTTTATATAATATCCATGCATTTATGCAGGCTAAATTTAATATATTGTAAAATGTATGAACTGGTCAACGTCTCGAGGGTGCCCATAATGTATATTTACGGCTCATTTGTTCAACAACATCTACTCTATATTTCGAGCCATTGTAAAAGAAAACTGTCAACAAAAAAATGATAATGAAACCGTAAGTGTAGTATTAAGGAAAATGTGTCCTCATCAACTATAAAAACGAAATTAATATGGGCAATTATTATATAATTAATTTTATTTGGTAATCAGGTAAACAGGTTTTCATTTTTGCTGTGACACTAAAGTTATCAAGCAGAACGCATCAGAACAATGACAAGTGCAAAAATTAAAATATTAGAGTGGCTTCTTTACGATGACTTTAAAATTTCAACTCATTCAAGCTTTCCCATACGTACCTAATAGAAATAACGCTAGAAGAAGTCTGAATAAAAGTTGATAATCAGATGGTTTAACTTTTACTTTAAGCTGTAAGTTTGGTAAGTTCTCGCCCCGAACGTTTCGACGATCGTCGCAGACGACCTCAATGCCAAACACGCTGCTGTTTTCGACGCTTTAAGCTCCGATCACCTTTCACTCAACCCTCGACTTCCCAAACATTACAACTTCGCTAGATTGGCTATATCTCCTCTACACTCTCGAAACATCCTCCTCCAAGTGCAGCGGAACTCGAGAAAGCTGTCAATCTCCTTTCAAACGAGATCACCAGCGCCATCGAGCTCTTCAAGAACTCCCGCCTCTCCTTCTCCCCAGAGACACCTCCCTGCAGATATTTTTACCATTGTTAAGAAGAAAAACAAATCTGTTGCCTAACCGAATTTCGTAGCACCATCTTCGACGTTTATATCGCTAACGCCGAAACATATCCCAAAAGCACAAGTGATCCGCTCTTTTCGAAACAGAGCCGCCACACCTCCCGCCGCTAAACGGCTCCGTATTCACTTCAAATGAGGAAAAAGCTGCAATCTTCGCAGACTCTTTCTGTCTCCAGTGCTCCCAACTTCCCCACCCTGTTGACCTTGCCGACTTTCACGAGCGAACCAACGTCGCCTACCAAAACTTCGTCCCAAC